TGCAACACTTCTCCCTGCAAGCACGAGGTGTGCAGACGGGACTCAGGGGAGGGAAGCAGCTTGAAGAGCACCACAAGCTACACTTATGGCAGAAGGAATAGATTTCATAATCCTGAATCCAATTAATGCTATGAAGGTCTCTCATACATATCTCAATAAAAACAACTAAAAAACACTCATGCTTGGTGTATGTCTTCAGGATACCAAAGAATGGAACAAAGACTACAGCCTTACAGGTACCCCAGTACTGTATAGTACACCAGTGTACTAACACGGTAGGACGGCAAGGTCATTATGGTTAAAAGCCATATGATGGGCTACGGACAGAAGCCGGCCAAGAAAAATACCTATTTTTCATTAGAGCTATGTAAGTTTTCTGTCCAAAACTTACAATAACAAAAAAAAAAAAAAAAAAGGAAAAAAATGACCAGCTTGACTCTAGACATTGTCTTAAATTAAGAGACTTAAGTGATTCAAGGTCAAAGGGGATTTTTGTGACCAATTAGCCCAATGCCCTGTACAAAGAAGCCACAGAACTTGTGCTTTACTAAAACGTATCATTTAAGAAACCATTCAATCTTGATTTTTAAATTGTCAGTGGTAAGGAAACCACCACAACCTTTGTTAAGATATCATAGGGGCTAATCATTCTCACTGTTGAAAATCTGCAGTGGAATTTTGAACTTCAAATAGCAACCACTGAACCTTTTTATATCTTTGCCTGCCAGATTGTTAGCAGTTTTTCAATGTTTTCTCCCCAATGCAGACGCTCTGATCAGGTCAAGTCTTAGCCTTCTCATGGGTAAGATAAACAAAGCAAGATTCCAGAATGTCTCACCGCAAGGCAAAGTATCCAGTCCTTTGATCAATCCCTTACCATTTTATCAACAGGCTTATGGACACCAAAAAAAAAAGAGCTCAGCAATGGAAAAGCGATTGTACCAGTGCCAAATACAGAAGCGATATAACTTCTCTACTATTCCTAGATATTACTCTCCCGAAACACTCGTGTTATGTAAGTTCTTCTGACCACAAAGGCACCATGTCCCAATAACCACGCTGCTCTCGGTAGGAAGCAGCCATTTTCTGGAGCTATGCAGGAGATGGGACAGTGCTATCTTCCACAGGACACTGGTCCTTAAACACTCAGGATCATTTTCTCCGAAGCTGTCCGCAACTCAGAAAACCCAGATGTTCCCCACTCTTCCTCTGAAGACAGACGGACTGTGGTGTGGCATTTCACTTCAATGAGTTTGGTACAAATCTCACCAAATTTATGCTCATAAGTGAACAGTTTTGCCTGCTTATTATGAAAACTTTTCTCCAGTTCCTTGGGGAGGTCTTAATTATATTTCAATATCAGAATTTTATACCTAAACTACTCTCATTTGTCAGCTCATTTCACTCTCTTGTTATTGATACAATGTCCTTCTTGTTGTTCTAGTCAAGGCCTCAGAAGACTTGTCTTCATTCCATCTATATTCAAAAGATGGAACTTTTATTCCACTTCCCAATCAAAACTTTTTTAATTTTGCTACATGTCTATCAAGTAGAATACTTGCAGAATTTTCTGTACTGTTCTCTGTGAAGATCAGTTATTCTCCTTCAGCATCCTGGCAAGTCTCAAGAGATCACGTACATGTTGAGCTGTTCCACTATATTTAGTGACTACAGGCATTATCAGCATGGGGTACTGACTACCAAAGGCTGACAAAGGGACTCTGTCACCTAAATATCATCATAAATGGAATTTATCTGACTAACACAGCAATTCATAAAACTCTATCAAATTCAACATCTTCAGGAGTGGGTTTTGTTTCACAAACTGAAGGTATCTAAAATTTAGATGAGGAAGAGAGCCTCCTCTCAAGGCTGAGAGATCCCTTACCTGACACCAGATGTCAATGGGTTGGTAAGTGAAATATTTTCGCTTGCATATAACACTTAAGATATGTATAGTAAGCTTATGCGATAATCTTTGTATCCCATACTAACTTTCAGTGCAGTAAATGGTAGAGTATTGACCACCAGTCCATCTATACTTATTAAATATTTTACATACCTAAATTTACTGATTAGAACTCAATAGCCTAACTACTAGAGCAGATCTGAGTGATCTCCGACTCTTCTCCTGCGACAGGCTGAACTGCCAGTCGCAGAGCTCTCAGCCACATCCTTCTTCGTTCAACCATCTCAATCTTTCAAAGAAATCTCTCACAGTTGACTTTCTGGATATCTGCTATCAGCTGGAAACATTTAACTCCTCTTGTCCTCTTCCACCTGCTGTTCACAGCCTACCAGTCCTCACCTGCCTTCAACTCCACCGAATGTTGCTTCCTCCTTCTACTTCTGATGTGAATCCTCCTCCACAATTTCTTTCTGTTCAGCTCCTTGGGGGAGCAGCAATGCTTCCTCAGCCTGGTTGCTCAGACCTCTTCCATTTCCCCAGTGTTCACCAGTGACGCTACTTGTCCTTTGAGCCCAGAAATCCAGCACTGCCAAAAATTTACATTTTATACACAGGAAGTCCTTTTGGACTAATGGATGGGAAAAAAAAATATGGGACATCTGTTTTGCAGGTCACAAACACCACTCCATCACCTGCCATCCTAAACAGCAAGCACAGAAACAGGCACATAGAGGAAAGTGCCCCACTGCCTGCGCAAATGTCCTAGGAAATATTAGCTTTTATTGCTGTTTGCTGTTCACAGATTCACTGGTTTTATCTTAGATCTTCCTGCTGTCACTGACAGACAGTAATTCAACACTCATGCTTGAAACACTGGGGATAAATGTCCAAGCATTGCAGACACAAAGGGCAGCCAGAGACAAAAAGAAGGTAAAATAAAAAACTAAAAAAAACCCTCTGTCTGGTATGCATGAGCATATGGGAAAGTTACTTAGCCTGTTCAGAAAAAAAACAAGCCAACAACCAAGCCCTACCAACGCACTGGTTCACAAATGCCACTCACAGGACACCTGTCTTGAAGCCTGGCTCCCCCCAACACTGACGTTTGGTGTTCAAAAGTCTTACAGGGTGCACATTCATGTGAATGCTGCCAATCCCATTTCTGGGTTTTAATTGATAGGCCAATCCATTTCAGCTATGGTAAGAAATCGTATTACACCAACAAACGGACCAGCCCTTCCCTTTAATTAATTCAAGTTGTTGCTTTCTGAAGTGTCTGCTGCAGTTATTACCACACTGAGAACAGTCCCTCCACGATGAACTCTGTTTCATCTGCTTATGAGTTGCTGGAAAGATGCGTTTTTAGGAGCCCAGCAGTCCAGCAGCACCGAAACACGGCCAATACATGCCCATCTCTGTCCTGTTTGCACAGCTGGGGGCAGTTTCGTCTACTCCAGACCTCAAAATGCTTTATCTTATCTGGCATCTTCAGTCTCTGTAAAAGTATCCATAATACACACTTTACATAAACCTCCCTCAGGTAGTGCTATGATTTAGGATGCTTCATAAGCCCTGGATAATTTACTTAAAGGCAATCAATGACCAGCTCCAGTGCAGCACATCCCGCCGTGGGTGGTGGATCATGGGACACAGGGGAGGGAAAACCCAGAGGGGCGCAGAGACCTGCCAGGAACCAGCAGCTCCCACAAGGGCAGCTGATGTGGCGTGGCTGGGGACTGGAGTAATGGCAGCCACCCCCCACTGCCACCCCCGGCAGCCCTGGGCAGGGCCAGCCACCAGGAGTATTGCCAACAGGGCGGGCAAACAGGACATGGGGCATCGGCCAGGGCGCGGGGCATGGGCCGGGGTGCCGGGCAGCAGTCAGCACAGGAGGGCACACAGGCGGCAGCAGACCCACAGCCCAGGGCCAAACAGCCAGAACTTCCCCCACTGGCACACACCGAAGGAAGGTGGTCCAATAACGCAGAGGAACGAGGGTTCACCGTGCCAAGGAGCAGCAGGAGGAAGAGGCTTCCCCTGGAGCCTGAGGTGCCCTTGCAGAACCGCTTCACCACTCCGCAGATGGAAGAGGAAAGACCTGTCACATCAGGAGAGGTGCTGGGGCTGAGCAAGGCAGCCCTGTCTGCTCCCCATATAACCACGAGCTCATCCAAGGAAAGGGGACGGGTGACAGCAGCAAGCGACTCTCTTCTGAGATATGCAGAGGCACTCATGTGCCAGCCTGACTCACTCTCCAGAAGAGTGTGCTGTCTGCTGGGAGCTCGGATCAGGGATGTCACCGAGAGACCACCAAGCCTCATACAGACTGTCATCCACTGCTGCAGTTTCATGTGGGCACCAGTGACACAGCCAGGAGCAGCCTGAGGTCTATCAAGAAGGATCACAGAGCCCTGGGAGAGGTGGTAAAGGACTCTGGAGCGCAGGTGGTTTTCTCATCAACCCTCCCAGCCAAAGGGAAGGTGTTGGAAAGGGCCAGTTGAATCTGGCTGGTCAACAAATGGTTACAGGAGTGGTGCCACAGACGGGGGTTCAGCTGCTCGGACCACAGCCCTTGCTTTGAGAAGCCTGCTCTACTGGAGGCTGATGGGTCCATCTGTCAGAAAAGGTGAAGAGCATCTTCAGTCACAGGCTTGCCAACCTGGAGGAAAGGGCTTTAAACTAAAGTTGCTGGGGGAGGGGAACCTCAGTCCATCCCATTCCTACCAGTTTGATGCCAGTGCCAGCAACAAATGCCCAGACCCTGGAGAAGGATCACAGGTCAGCAGGAGAGCACCTGCAGAGCAGCACAAAGGAATTCCAGCCAGTAAGTCAGCTCCATCGGGAGCCCAACTAAAGTGCCCCTATGCAACTGTACATGGCATGGGGAATAAACAAGAGACGTTAGAGAGGTGAGCATTAGATGTTACATTAATTGTACTTTAAGTTTTCTACAGGTCTGTAGAGTAAAACAGAAGTTCCCCAAAATTACTACTTAAAAATAAGAGAAC